GGGGAGGACTTATCATATATTGTTGGTCTGATGCATACAAGTGCTGCTATATGCAATTTAGAAAATCTTAGACCAACACATGAATCTTTGTTCTCATAAGCAATGGTTTAGCCATTAGTAGGAGGCATTCAATGCTAAACCAGCTTGGATATAAACCAGCATTAGCAAGATGAACTATCTTGATTTCATAATCTGAAAGTTATGCTCTTAATTGAGAAAAGCAATCTCAAATGCCAAACTGCAGGTTGATAATAAACATACATGTAATCATCTTATATATGCATCTATAAGTGGTTCACATGACAGGTGAATGGGCCCATATTCACCTTTTATATATTTCAGAATCAGGGGTCTTAGTCCCAACTTTAGCTGGTAGAATCAATTTATTATGAGAACAAGCAGCACAAGAGAATTCTTGAGGAATCTTCTAGTTCTTCAGTATATGCTTCTCTGAATTCTCAAATAGCTCATTTAAAAATGGCAAACGAAAACTTCAAGTTTATCATGGCATGTGCTATCTCTTAGTAAATTTCTGGTTTACTATGGCACAAACTTTTGCATTAGTAAACTTCCGGTTTACTGTGGCTGCTTTTGTGTAAGTAAATTTCTCATTTACTGTAGCTGCTTTTGCATTAGTAAACTTTTGGTTTAATGTGATACATGATGTAGCACAAATTGAAGAATAAGGCGGGTAACTTCTGGTATCATGAGAGAAAATCATAATCAAATGAATATTATAAAGACAATTCTAAATTTATAAATATAAGAAATTAAGAATTTCAGTATTTTTACCACCAACTTTGTGACAAATATCTCCTTCAGGTATAAATGCCATTAATATCTGAATATTTTATATCAAAGCGGTAACCACATAGTCATTATATCCTTCAGGGAAAGTTACATGACTTGTTATTTTCTTCAGGGAACTCGATAACTAACCAGAACATATTAATGTGGTTGTAGTAGAAAGCATTCTACAAGAATACTTTTGCCTTAGTATGATATTTAATAAAATTTTCCAAGATATTTTACGTACAATGGGTACGTGCGACAATGATATTTATCCCACAAAAACAAGATTTATATACTTTGTTATTCTACCTCTTCAGGAGGTGAGTTATGGTATTTCTTCATTCACTCCAGGGAATGAAAATGTGCTTCAAAAATAACTTTGAATAGCTTATTATTTTGTTTAAGCACAGAAAGACACAATTTCATAATATTTTCTTGCTTCAGGAGAAAATGTCAATTGTGTTACTTCTTCAGGAGTAAATTTAAAATACGAAAAAATGAGTATATATTCTCTCAATCATATTACCTCTTCTGGAGGTGAATTGATTAATATTGTCACATTCACTTCGGGGAATGAATTATATTTATCAAAAGTTCTCATCCTTTAGGAAACAGAAGATAATTATTTGAATGTGCATTAATCACACCAAATCGTGTGATGCTTCAACCTCTTTTGAGATAATGCTACTTTAGGAGCAAATCGAGGCATGCAAGTAATATAGAGAAATTTTCTCTAGCTTATCTTCAATCGTAACTATTGAAAGCCTAAATTATCACTTCTGGTGGTTAACAAAATTTAGTTACAATGAGATATACAAAACATAACCACTTCTGGTGGTTATATATTTCTTGCGAACTCTGCTGGAGTTTAAGTGGATCTAATAATGTTATCCACTTTATAATCCTTTATTAAGATAATAAGGATGAAAACTAATACCAAAATAGGTACTTTATACGTAGCATATAACCAAGCAAGCGATGATAAAGATATTAAACAAAATATAAGCAAAAAGCTCAAATTACTTTACACAAATTTGGCCACTCTAGACGTAAGTGATATCCACATCACTATTGCCACGGAGAAAAGCTCATCACCTCAAGGATATAACCTGCCTTATGATGCTCGGAGTGAACAAGATCTAACCACAGACGTAAGAGTGTCGCCTTACATCAGAGATGAACACTGAAATAGAAATTAAATTCGAAGTAAGTGCTCAAAATGGCAGAGTCTCGTGCTGATAACCTGTTATAAAATAAAGACTTTAAAGTAAAGAATCAAAGACAAGTATAGAGAGAGAGATTGATATTATTCAACTTCAAACTGATGTACATAATGAACTGAAATCTCTTCTATTTATAGAAGAAAGGAAGCTGCTGTGTAAGCTGCTACTGTAAGCTGCTACTGTAAGCTGCTGTGTAAGCTACTACAAGCTGTTGTGTAAGCTGCTACACAAGCTGCTGTGTAAGCTACTACAAGCTGCTGTGTAAGCTATTACAAGCTGTTGTGTAAGCTGCTACAACAAGCTGATGTGTAAGCTACTACAAGCTGTTGTGTAAGCTGCTACTATACCAGATATGGATAATCATATACTAAAAGTAATATTATCCACAACCCGGTACCGAAGTGATAAGCTTCTTCAGGAGGCTTATTTCTAATAGAGTAATAAATAGATAAACATATTTACGGCGGAGCCCCATACGGATAAACTTATTCAGGAAGCTTATTTACAACGGAGTATGAACATCCATGATATAATATATTTATAACATATTACTAATTATGACCTCTTTGTTTTGAAATGTAAATAAACGTTACATAATTCTTCAAAAAGATCCTTTACGTTACAAAAGGATAAAGTACATATTTTCTCTCTTCGTTGACCTTAGTAAGTTGAACATATGAAATTCCATTAATTAATGAATAAAAACTACTCCTACAAGAATACAATAAACCTTTTTTTTTTTTTTTGTGATTTGAAGGATACCATAATACTATACCAATGAAACCCTAATATTATAGCAAAGAAACTTTTTTTTTTTAAAACTACAACAATGGTGTTCGGGTCAGCTTGCACGTGCTATACTAACGAAACCTTATCATCATCTTCTGCTTTTTCACCATCTTCCTGCGTACGACTGAACATGAACATAAGAAAAAACCATAACTCCGATATCACAATCAATGAGAAGATACCAATCCAACAGTCAATACAATAAGCAAAAAACTCCTTTCAATATAACCATTGCTCCTCTTGTTATCTTTCTCCATAGTTGAACTATTATCAATAGCATGGCCAGAGTAACGTAAAATTTCGAATGCAGGATCAAAAAAATCATCGATACCATGCACGATCACACGTTCATCGTTATAAACATCCCATTCGACGATATTAACGTTGTTAATAGAAGCGTTTTCGTGGCGAGGCAACGTAGTAACCACAATAGGATAGCCAGATAGTAGAGTGTCAATTTTTGAGCCTAAAGGAAGAGAAATTTCAAGACTTTCTTTATCAATTTTTGAAGGCACAACATGATATTGAATTAATTTATAAGGAGGGTCGGAATATCTTGGAAATATTTTGATTAAAGCGTCATCAGTAGGGCAAAAGATAGTGAAAGTTGTAGTATTAGGAGAAGAAGAAATAAGATGATTTAAGGTATTTTCAAGAATAATTGACATTGAAACATAGTCTTTTTCGAATAATGTATTTGTAAGATTGGAAGTAAATGAAGAAATTGAGGTCGAAAGGCTAAAGAAATTACAAACGAAGAGAAGAACTAATAATTTGGTAATTGTTGTTTTTGATGCCATTGAAGATATTATTTCAGACAAAGCTTAATTTGCAAATTCTAGTTAAACCCTTATATATAAGTTTTTTTTATTTAACCTAAACCTAATTGAACTAGGATTTGTTATTTCCTTTTTTTTTCCTACCCCAACTATACTTTTGACGATTTAACAAAATAAAATCCTTTACTTATTGAATACCTATCAAACTTGGAAATCTTGTTTGTTTAGTTGGACGGCAAACTTTTGATTTTTTGTTTCAAGAATACTTTACGCAATAAGTTAAAAATTTAAATTACAATAGTAATAGAACTTATAAGGTAACTTTTTATGCGGAGGCCTATCGAGACCTATTGAACTCATAGCACATTTTAGTTACTGAATTCGTAAAAAAATATTTATATATATTTAATGAGTTTACGAGTACAACTGGATCTAAGCAAAAGAAAGAGATATTGAAAAAAAATTACTAATTTCCTTTGCTCAAGTATATTAATTTGGTAGCAAATTGTAATAGTAAATGTTGAGGGAGGGTGAGCACATTTAATGTGGGGTAAAGACTTTTCATATATATATTTTTCGCCATTCTCAAAAATAATAGCTGACAAGATATATATTTTTTGTATGTTTATGTATTATATACCAAATCACGGCTAACAAATACAATTAGTTTCAGTGACTGGCTAGTTTTGTATTTTACCCTTTTCATAATCCGACAGTCAATTACTATCTGTCACACCAAAGAATTTTCTATTATTTTGTCGCTTCAATTTCATCCATTTATTTAGAACTATATTAAAGCGCAAAACCCTTTGTTAAAGTAAACTTGAAGGCCAAATCTTTTTATTTGGTTCTCGAAGACAAGTATATATACAACAACAATAACATACCCAGTAAAATCGCACAAATAGGATCTGACAGAAAACAAGTATATATATCATGAAAAAAAATCTGGATGAAGCACAAAGTGCTTTTTTTTTCCTAGCAGAAACAATGGAACTGCTAGAAAAACAAGAATTAGCTAGGAACTCCATCACTAATCCATCGCTAAAAAGCTCGTAGCTAATGATAATTCCTCACTAATTCCTTGCTAAGTAAAAATTTGTCCATTCCTAATTCCTGTTTTTAACATAGTATTCAAGATAATAGATAATTTTATGAAGGTATCAGAGCTTTCTAGTCCTTACACTACATTATCAAAAGATCACCTTTGCAATAGTCTTGATATATAAATGAACAATAACAACTTTTTGAGAACTCAAGATAATGCAAAAATACACCATAGATCCCTTGCCAGTGATAGATTCTTCCGCCAAAACAAGGACAGCCCAGTGCACTAAGCTCCCAATGGAACGCAAAAAATTAATTGCATACTTTTGGATGTTGCGAACGAACAATCTATGCTAAAGGCACATCCGACTCTTCAAAAATGCTGCCGAATGCATGTCAGATCCTCCAAAAAAGCAGGTGAGGCAACATTTCTAGAGAGTTTTAGCAATATATGATCATGGAACTTGAAAAACAAAACTACAAACACCATTCCCATAAGCACATCCTGTGACCCTGCTACTATGATAATCGTTATGATATCATATATTTACAGTTGCATCTTGCAAAATACAACAATAACAACTACTACAAGTACGCCTTCAATTCCAAGCAAGTTGGAGTCAGCTTATATGAAATATAAATCTTCACTGACCATGTCGCTCCATTTAAGCTCATCGTAGATGACATCTTGCAAAATCACTTAACGTAATCATAAGATGAGAGTCCATCGGCTTAAATGAAATCAGATAGTGGCAGCATACGTAGGTCTTACCAAGCGACTCGATGTAATCCCCTTCTGAGCCAAAGTTGGTACACTGTCATATGAAAGGAATCATAATTTTTAGGACTACTATACCATGCAAAGTGCTTTCTCACAATGCCTAAGTTCTTATACATGCTGAGGTACATCTGTTTAGGCACGGAGAGCAATATCTTCTTCAGGTGCGGAATATCTCTTTCATTAACGATAATTGAGAACTTGCTCCAATCTAATATGTTCGCTAATGGAAGATCATAGTAGTTCGAAATCAGTACAGGGACGCAGCCATGCTGAATAGCATCACTGACTCTAGCTGTATTCACCTCGTAACCTTTGACATGGAGACAGTATCTACTTCTCCGAAATCCTTCCTTGTAAGGGAAAGATGAACTCCCAGAGAATATATCGAAGGAGCTATCGTTCTTCCACAGCTCTAATAAATCTCGTCTTGCAAGAGAATTTTGGACACGACCAGCAAAGAAGACAAGCTTGTATCTGCAAAAAAAGAATAAAGCAAGTGATAGGCACAAAGATGCAGGACACAAGCTTAAAAGAAAAAGCAGTGTTCACATCACTAAATTCACAACTCCAAGAAGTGCGATGTAGACAAAGCATCCCGCATTCACGCAGGGCTCAGGGAAGGGCTGCACCCCTAGAGGTGCGATGTAGACAGTCTACCCTAATGCAAGCATTAGTGGATGCTTCCACGGCTTGAACCTGTGACCTATAGGTCACACGGAGACAACTTTAAATATTATGGAGAATCCTAAGGAGATTGAAAATTCACACACAAATAGAAAATCTTAAAGCAGGAACAAAACCAAAAAGAATAGTAAAATATGTGGAGAACTCTTGTTGCTAAACAAGGAAAAAGTACTTAAGTGACTAGAGTTCTCAATCAACTCATTGAACTCTATGGAAGAAGCCGATGATGGGGCGAAAGTTTGTTGGTTAGGAGAACGAAATATTTACTGGTGTTTTACATGTTATATATTTTAGAACAGTTTCTATCTCTTTTTTGTGTTAACTGAGTTCGACTTATCCACAATACCTGTGATCTGCCTCATTTTTTTAGCTTAAATTTCTAAAAGCATGTCGCAAAATCTTCTAGTGGTCTATTTATCTTTTCATATTCTTCCAATAAAGGATCTGAACTTTTTTGGGGAATCACATTAATTATCTATTAAGACCCTTCATCTTCACTTTTTCCAAATTCCGACTTTTGTACTCGAACATCATCCATTCCTTCCCATAGCAACCTGTGTGCTCCATATGGTTAGTCGAGTCTGAAGCTTAGCTCCCTTATTCCGCTACTTCTGATCCTACACTGGTTAATGATGCGATGGAGGAAGTTTTTTCTTTTTTCATCAATACAAGAGACTCAGAATATCACTGCCTTGGGGTAACACCTACCTTCAGGAGAAGATTACCGAATGATTTTCAAACCTGTCCTCTTTGCTACTACTTCGTCAATATCACCTTTTATAACAACAACAACAACCACCCAGTATAATCCCACAAGCGGGGTCTGGGGGTAGTGTGTACGCAGACCTTACCCCTAACTTGTGGAAATAGAGAGGCTGTTTCCAATAGACCCTCGGCTCAAGCATCGGTGAGTACAAAGGGCACAAAAAGAACCTTTAATGAAGCATGAAAATATTTGTCTTTGATCAACTAGTTTTTAAAGATTAGGTGGATTCTCAATAAAGACGGCGAATCTTCTTATTTTGATTAAGTGGATTCTCAATAAAGCCGCCGCTGTTCCAGCAAGCCAAGCAACTTGCATATATGTCAAGCTCGTCCTTACTGAATGCAATTGTAGTTTACTCCTAACACTAATAGCTTGATATCAGCAAGAATTAGCTAAGTTTCCACTTTTGTCTGCCAGCAGCTACAGGGAAAACAGTTGGAAAAGCCAGAAAATGATTTTCTAATGCCTAAAGTTATGTTCTTGTAGGCAATGGCAGCACAAATTCAGCTAAAAAGATAGATTAATCAGTTACCAGTCGAAACCAGATGACGTGACTCAACATCCCACTAACCAAAAAGCACGCAGAATTGCTTTCACAGACGATACTTCTCCAGCAAATATAATGTATTAGAAGAAATCAATCCACTAAGCACACAAACTGAAATTCATTAAAGACTAAAAAGGGCAGCCCGATGCACAAAGCATCCCACATTCAAGCAGGGTCCGGGAAGGGCCGCACCCCAATGGGTGTGATGTAGACAGCCTACCCTAATGCAAATATTAGTGGCTGCTTCCACGGCTTGAACCCGTGACCTATAGGTCACACAGAGACAACTTTACCATTGTTTCAAGGCTCCCCTTCAAATTCATTAAAGACTAATGAAAGATAAAATGTCCAACGCAGACCTTAATAAAAGCAGTCTACAAAAGAGCTTTACACCAACAGCAAGCAGTATAAAAGTCACTTGTCAACAGAAATTGCAAGACAATGCAGTTAAGTGATACCATACCTCGCATCTGGAGGGTTCAACACTTCCTCGTATTTCCGAGGCCAAACTTGGGGCAACCCAATGTCTTTATGGGCAACGTAAAGCCTTTGAAAGTAGTTCGACGAGCAAGTAACCTGAATTGCATTGTGATGCAATTCTTGGTGCTTAGAAGCAGCGTCTCGACCAATAGAATGACAGTACACATAAAAATGATCAGCACCACCAGATGCATTCCAAAATCTAAACTCCGATCTAATTCTATCAGTATAACCAGCAACAAAATCTTCAATCGCGGCTGCAGAATGCACGCGAGGATGATTTCGCATAACGTTAATAGAAAAGGGCATATAATAAAAATGAGCCTTTTCTGGATTCTGAGTAACTAAAGAACTACCCAAAAGTGCAATCTTGAACATGTGTTCACTAAAGTAATTTCCCAATTTAGGATCAAAGGGATTTGTAAGGGGCAAAAAAATGGTTGAAAAAGGTGAAGATTTGTTACTCATAAAAGCATCAGGATACACAAATATCATAAGGGTTTTCATCATTTCTTCATAATCAGCAGCAAATAACTCCCAATTATGATAAGGACTATTATTAATTAACACATTTTGACCTTCACTAGACCAATTTTGCACCTTTTTTGGTTCAAGATTCTTCACTAATACTTCCTCTTGGCCATTAATCTGAACAAAATTTCCATTTTTATGTATAGAACTATTACTTATTAACACATTTTCCCCTTCACTAGACCAATTTTGCAGCTTTTTTGGTTCAAGATTCTTTACTAATACTTCCTCTTGGCCATTAAACTGAACAAAAATTCCATTTTTATGTGTTAAATCTTTCATTTTTGTTTGTACCATTAGTAGAGCTCCTACCATTACAACTACAATTAATATTACAGAAAAGGGTCTAAGAAAAAACCATAATCTAAAAAGTTTATAACTTTGATTAAAAGAACACAAAGCCATAATTTAATTCAAAGAGAAAAATCAAGAAACTTATCTGGGTAAGCTTAAAAATCCTTTCTTTTTTCAACCCCAGTTGAGAAAAAACACAAGAACCTTCTTTAGCTACTCCAATTAGCTGCATATATGAATATTTTTTGGTTTTGTGTATAATATATTGTGTTGGAAAGACATTTAATGTCTTTTTACTTACAGAATTGTTCAAATGGAATTATAGGACTAATGGTTGAGCTAAGCAGGCGGCAAAATTTTAATAGTATGATTTAAGAATGTTAACGTGTACAACATAGATATGTTAAATAATCTTGAAAATAACGTAGGACATCTCGAAAATGTCAGCAAAAGAATTAAGATAAATGGCATATATGAGTAAACTCAACTTTGGTGTATGTATATCCTTGTGTCTGTTATTTTATTATTTCTTCTACGGCCAAGGGCCAAATATATCCTTGTACTATGAGAAAATATTTAAATATACCCTTCGTTATACTTTGGGTCCAAATATAGCCCTATCGTAATACTATTGGTTCAGATATACCCCTTTTCTGTTAAGTTTGTCCAAGGTGGACATTCAATCCTACGTGGCACTGACATTTGATGAGGTGGATTCCATATGGCATGCCACCTCAGCGCCCCTAATTTATTTTTTAAAAGACTAAAATTTGAAATACAATATTTTTCGTGGTAGCGGTAGTGGTGCCATAGTGGTGGAAGGAAAGAAAATCTTAGTGGTGGAAAAAAATAGAAGGGAGGGGTAAAATGGGTTAGGGGCGCTGAGGTGGCAAACCATGTGGCATCCACCTCATCAAATGTTAGTGCCAAGTAGGATTAGATGTCCACTTTGGACAAACTTAACGAAAAAAGGGTATATTTGAACCAATAGTATAACGACGGGGATATATTTGCACTCAAAGTATAACTATGGTACATTTAAACCTTTTCTGATAGTATATGGGTATATTTGGCCCTTTTCCGTTTCTTCTATTTCAGTTTATACATTATAATTTAATTGAGCACGGAATTAAGAATTTTCTTTTTTAATCTTAAATACAACAACAATAACAACAATCTAGTGTAATCCCACTAGTGGGGTCTGGGTGGGGAGGGTAGAGCAGACCTTACCCTTACCTTCATGAATGCAGAGAGACTTTTTCCGGTAGACCTTTAGCTCGGGAAAGGTAAAAGAAGGACAACATCAAGCATACCAATCGGAAAACCGAAGCAAAAATACAAAACTAACAGCAGGTACTGTAATCAGGAAGCTGAAACAAAAGCAACAACAAGTAATAATAGAAGTCAAGGGATACGACAATATACAGATAGGATAACGCTCGGCTACCTATCCTAATCCTTTACCTTTATTCTCAACCTCCATATCGTCCTATCTATGGTCATGTCCTCAGTAAGCTGGAACAACGCCATATCTTGCCTAATCATCTCTCCCAATACTTCTTCGGCCTGCCTCTACCTCTCCTCGGGCCCTCCCAGACCAACCTCTCGCACCACTTCACCGGAGCATCTATTTCTCTCCTCATCACATGCCCGAACCATCTAAGTCTCTCCTTCCGCATTTTGTCCTTCACAAGGGTCACGCCCAACTTGCTGGGACGGCCCAAGGGTCAAGCCACTAAAGCAAAGGCTTTAGGCCCCCAAATTTTGAGGGCCCCAAATTTTGATATTCGTTCCGCATAAGGCCTAGTAAAAGAGAGAACACATTTTAACAGGATTTAGTTTAACCACAGGACTCGAACCCAATATAAGGTAAGTTGGATCATATATATCTCACAACAATCTTTAGAGGTAGGATCTAAATATATTGGGTATGTTAAAATAGAAAAAATAAAATATATTTTATAAAAAGTAAATATAACTTTTAATTTACTATTGATGTAGTTTAAGCAAAAATTGGAGAAAGAAAATCACTCCCCCTAAACCCTTGTCGCGAATATAAAACTTTTCATTATTTAAATTTTACGATTGACATCATTAGTGAGGTACCTATATTATTATTCTCCTTTTACATTTCTCACTAAAATCGTGTAATAAACTTTCAGAATCTGTTTTTTTGGTATCTTCAATAGTCCAAGTCTTATTTTTTATCTTTCTCATCAGAAAACGGGTACTACATTCTTATATTCTCTTCTTGGTTTCTACAAAAAAGCGTAAGTTCTCGATAAGTTATATTGTTCTCTGTAGAAAAAAAAGAGTTTTATTTTTTCTATGAAAAAACAAGAGTTAAAGAGTACCGTTGAATAAAACTATATTGCGCATTCTTTTTTTCCCTTTTTTACCCCCTCAGGTTTCAAGCATTTCAACAAGTATATTAGAACATCAAAAATTATTTCGATATCAAGTTATAAACTTCTTGAATCTGGTTCTATTATCTAAGATAAACAATATCTTAGGAGAGATTAAATTATTTATAAAAGAAACAATTAACACCTTATTTATTTTAAATAAATACCATTTAAAAAAATTATATTCTATAGATACCTTTTAATGTTTATAGCAAAATATCTAATTTTGGTACCTCCTACCCCTAAGCCACTAAATACGCTATTCAGTTACAGTATTTTCTTTCTCTCTCTTATTTGATACGTGTCATTCTCTTCCCCCCCCCCCCCCCCCCACAGAAAACTCGAGCCAGAGGTTATTAACGTTCTTGGTACCCGGTTTAACACCCCAAGAGGAAAAAGAATCGGAAAGCAAACGCGGCCTTAACCAATCGGAGAGGGACTGTGGGTTAGGGAATGGGGCGGTTGGTAGGGTTACGGAGGTTGGTGGAAGAGGGGTTGGACATAGTGGGATTTCTGACGAATTGACGAGGGTTTAAAGGGAAAGAAATAAGTGGGGTGAATTTGCGGATAATAGAAGTAGTGGGGTTAGAAGAAGAGAAGAAAACGAAGAGAGAAAAGGCAGTGAAGATGAAGTCAGGGAAGGAGTCAACTCACATTCAGTTATGTGATTATTACCTAATTATTGATTATTACATATTCTGTGAGTTTGACATTCTGTTTTAGATATCTCCTCCGTCAACTCACATTCAGTTCTTCGTCCGTTTATTTTCCGGCGTCAACAAAACCCTAGTCCTTCACGCCCATTCCACTGACACAGTTTTATCAGTTCACAGAAAAATCTTCCCTTCGGCATTTTTCATATTTTCAATGTATCACACTGTATTTTTTATGTATTTCATTGTATTCATTGTCTTTTTTTTCATTGTAATTCAATGTATCTCGCTGTATTCCATGTATTTCATTGTATTCACTGTCTTTTTTTCCATTGTATTTTAATGTATCCCGCTGTATTCTATGTATTTCATTGTATTTACTGTCTCACTATATGCCATGAATGTATTCATATGTTTTTTTAATTAATATAATTTATGTATTCAGATGTATTATATAATTCCTCTGAAGATTGCTATGTTTTTAGGTATTTTTCGGTTGAGAATCTTTTTTATAACTGAAAATATAAAATTTGTGTGTTATAATTGAGTTTGTTGAGTTATATTAGGAGTCTATTATGTTAATTGATTCACTTTCCATTTAAAAACAGTGTAATCCCCTGTTTCACGCCATGAATACAGTCGAATACAGTAGAATACAATAATCTGTCCAGCCGTAATCCCATGTTTCATGCCATGAATACAGTCGAATACACTCGAATACAACAACTGATTAGCTGGACTTCCTTGATTCAAGCCTATTTCTGCTACTGTATTCATGGATACACTAGCTTAAATAAATCTAATATATCTTATAACAACAGAAAACGTATCTACAATCCGTAATATAGCAAATGATATCTATAGATAGCTAATTACCACTAAACCACATATCCACTATAATTATTCACATTCGTCAAACTTACTTACTCACGCCAATCTTCCGACCATTTCAGTATATTTTAGTTGGCCAATGCTATAGGCCTCATTTATTATGTGTTTCACTTAATTAATACCCAACTAATTGGAACAGTAAGGGCAAATCTGCAAAATTACTTCTTTGTTATTCTAAAATATCAAAAATATTCTGAAACAAATCCAATTTGCTAAATAGATTAATATTTGAAATTGGAATAATAAAAAAAATATCACAACTAGATACCATAATGGTCTCCAAAATAGGACATGGATCTCCAACAAAATCATTAGGTATTTGATGTAAAAACTGAACGCTTCGAGGTCGTTTGGTACATAGGTTAAGGTCCATGAGGACACTAATTCCGAGATAAAATTTGAGATTAACTTTATCCCATATTTGATTTTGGATATTATCTAATCCCAGGACAATTTTTACACTAAAATAGTGGAATTAATTATTCCATATAAAAGATGGGATAACCAATCCCATAGAATATCTCACCCTATGGGATTTGCAATTAGCGAGACTCAGAGTGATTGCAAGCTATGCTCACTCGGCAAGTGCAGAATCAGCTCACTCGGCAAGTGGAGAATCAGAGTGAGTCAAGCGAGAGGGAAGCTAGTGAGAGAGAATCCAAGTGAGCTAGCAAGAATGAGGACTATACCGACAATCAAGGCGATAAAGAGGCCACTCAGTCGTCAGTCTAGCGACTCTACCGCCTAGCAAGCAACTGAACTCGCTAATTAGAGACTGAGACGGACACGAGCTCAGTCGTGGATTTCATGGGATATCCCATCATTGTACCAAACGATCCCTTTATAGTATAGATTAACTCTTTCCACTAGTTCGAGCCGTGGAATCAGCTACTAATACTTGCATTAGGGTAGGATCAGAATCCTACATGAACACATGATGTTTTATGCACCGGACTGCCCTTTTTATGTTTCACCTGGTGAGCCACCTCTGGGTTTATATAAAAGTGACATTGTTCAAGTACACCAGTATTTTTCAACAGCAGAAATGCTTTTGAGATGTCATTCTTATTTCAAGATGTTGGCCCAATAAGCTAAGTAATTACAAATAATCAAGATTATTTCTCAAGTCCACCTAAACAACTACAACCTATATTACACTTGTGCATCTCATTTCCACTCAAAACTTAATCAACTTCACTTTTATGATATGCTATTGCACAATTTTACAGGCAAGAATGGATCCCTGAGTTGGGAAAAATGTATGGATTCCTATCAATTATGCCCCCATAGCATTTTCTGCGCGATTTTCCGCTGGAAGCTGCTTCTTGGCCAACATTTCAGCGTGTTGTTCCAAGTATTCTTTGCTGTTTATCTCTGTCAACCTGCATTACATGGAAAATTCCGATATTGTTACGGGTTCGAGTCACGAAAGCAGACACTAATTCTTGTATTAGGGTAGGCTGTCTACATCACACCCCTTGGGGCTGAGTTGTTTATTGAACAATTTCGTAGAAAGGAACAAGTGATTGCGAATGCAGCTGAAACCACGGGTTAATTTTACGTATGGTCATTGAACATTACCTACTATAACATTATAATAAGATAATTATACTTTACCCAACTATAACAGTAAAGTCACAAAACTTCGCCCACTATAACAGTAAAGTCGGATTGAGTAGGTATATTAGAAAAGCACTCTGACTTGCAAAATCATTTATTTAGCCAAACAAATTAAGATGAAGCACTTTACCTACTAATGGTACGATCTTTTGCAAAACCCAACTCGTTGTCCACACAAAGGTCAAAGTCGTCGTTCTTCCTTGACCTTGAAGATGTTCTAGGTGCCATGTGTTGGGCATCGGATATTGTCACAATTCTTTCGAAAAGTTCAACTGGAGTTCCCTCGGCTGTGCATAAAAGTCGAGCTCTATTTTCATATATTACCTGATAAGAAAATCAAAGAGGGAACAATCACTTCTCCATAAAGATAAGATGTGATCCCGAAACACTACATGTACTTATAATAATATTATTTAAGAAGTGATCACTAATCAAGAAGAAGAGAACGCACATCAACCAAGGTCACAAAACGGTATGCTGCAGTTTTATTGTGAAGCCCAAAAATCGGTACGCCTTCTAGAGCCAGCGTATGAAAGTTTTCTGGTTACACATAAAACAAAAGGTCAGTAAAAAAACTCGAGAAATGATTATCGTGTTCAACTGAAGTGCGCTATCAAGAAACTCCAAACTCATTATCGTAAGCATATACTGCAAAGAGCAGCTAAATTAGAGCAAACAAACAAGAAACAACAAGACCAGAAAACAGCCACAAATCACTTACTACATAGTCCAAAATAGTCTGCTGCGCCAAGAGGCCGGTCGCAAAGGTCCTCAAACGAAAAATATGCACATCCATTAGCACCCAGCGGAACCTAAGCATAGAGAAAAGACAAAATTAAGTCCCTTTAGTCGTAAGACCTTTTTACATCGTCATATCAAATGAAAAGCTAAGCTTACTCGACAAACCTTTAATTTCCTTCCCATGACAACTTCCACTTCTTGTGGAACCGGTTGAGCACCCCCAACTAGCATTTGGAAATGCTTTTTAATAAGGCTTGACAGATCTTTTCCGATAAAGTAGAAGCCTTGTTCGGCCTACAATTAAATTAAATAGGAAATAGAATTAAAACATGAGCATAGATTAGCAAGAACAGTAGAAATAACTGCCAAATGAACTTGTACAAAGTTGAATACTATACCGAAGTCAACTTCCTGTAGTCCACGGCTGAACCAATTTCACGTGCTACACATCTTTCCTGCATCAATATAGTTTCCCAAGTCATTAAGCCAATCAACATGAGTTGGAAATCGATGTTGAGAATGTTTAGATACCTTTAAAGTAGCTATAAAAGGAAGGAAAAGATCCCTCTGCAGTCCACCTTCATAAAGGTTATCGGGAGCACGGTTTGAAGTAGCAACGAGAATCTGCATTTATATTGATGAAGGATCAATAGAAATAATACATAGGAGTTATAGGACTAAAAGACACAGTGTACGGAACAATGAATTACTCACAACGCCATTGTTAAATAACTGTCTAAATAAGCGGTTCAGTATCAGTGCATCAGCCACATCAGTCACCTATATTAACAAGAGAAAACTTTTATGGAACCGAAATCTTCTCATAGAAGCTTAAAACACAGTGAATATAAGAAAGAAAAGTTCCGACTATACGGACATACCATGAATTCATCAAGACACAACAAAATGGACTCATCTGATATCTCTCCTGCCACAACTTCTAGGGGATCCGCCACACCTTTGTGCTTCTGCAATTAAATAGATGGCACAACATTAAAATTCCTCATTTCACAGACCCCAGCATAATAAACAGATTGAAATTAAACAAAGTAAAGATTAGGTTCATACCTGCAATCGGCTGTGAACATTCAGCATGAAGTCATGGAAATGGATTCTCTTTTTCCTCCAACTGGCAGGCCTGACATAAAATGTCCATAGATTAAGATAAAACATTTGTTTTTCGGTTCTCGTATAAATGCAGATACAAACATCGGCATGTGGCAAGATGAATCATCTCGTCTAACAGTAAGATAAGTTTGATACTTACAACTGGTCGAAGAACAGGTCCATTAACATAGTTTTGCCTGTCCCAACTCCCCCATAAAGATATAATCCTTTGACGGGGGCATATGTTGACTGTGGCATGAGACGAGACCATAACCATCTACTCCTGCAAATTTACCAGAGTGATGTAATGCGTCAATACAATGAAACAGAAACAATCGCGCTCCTAGTCAAATGTAAATGTTGCCAATTTCAAGATACAGATCCACAATTCAATTGGTACTCAGTGTGTACCTCCCGGCTTTATCAGAAGAGGCATATTTGTCTAACCGGCAGTCTTCAGCTTTTTCGATGAGCTGATCATAAAGTCTTTGGAGTTCTTGCAATGTGCCTACCTACAAAATCATTGTCAGAATCTATTTTCAACAAGCAATAATGAGATAAAAATTCATAACAAATTCAATGATTCCCAAATTAACTTCATTCTGATGTAACTGAACCTAAGTTTAAAGTTTCAAGTCCCATCAGTTATCAGATTTTTTGGCAACTATATTTACAATTATTAACAGTAAAGTACTGATTTTAGGATATAAGAAATTCTCCAGAGTCTACCACATTTTACCACTTCAATACCTCCAATGGATTCTGTGATCGAGTGCCACTAGATAGAATTTCTTAATATGAAAGAGTCACCGCACATAGTTTAAAACCAGAAATACTCCAATTCTTTTTGAAGGAGCTGAGAGGAAGTAACGCCTTCCCCTGAGAAATAGGCGGCATCGACATAAAAGTGAGCTAATTTGTGATCATGAGATCACACTGATGCATCAGTCCTTTCTTTTATATAAGTCACTGTTGTCATACCTATAAGCAGG